AATATAGCAGTAATTTATGCTCTGATTTTATCCTACTGTGTTACAAATGCACATCCTGAGGTAATGAGCTGTGGGAAAAACCTCCCACCATGGTATGAATTTAGTCTTTAGTTTCTTGGAGAGAATGGTATGCCTTCCAAGAATCATAGAATCATACATGTAAAAAAATCAGAGATACTTCCCTGAAATTTTAAAGCCACAAGACTTATGTTTTTAAAGTTCTTTTTGAAACAAAATAGCAAAATTTAGATGGATGGTAATGGATCCAGCATGTAATTACTCTCAAACTGCACATGATCTCAAAACAATTTACATTTGGTTTAGGAATCGGTTAATTTTGTTTCATAATACCAGTAGAGTTTCTTTGCTAATTGTAGTATATTTAGGTTAATGTTAAAATTGATCTGATTTCCTAGAACAGTGAATGCTGACTGGCTGATTCATGGAGGCTACTAGTCTAGGATTATAGCTTCGCAAATAGATCCTTCTTTGGGTAGCAATTAACCTTGAATTTGTTCACTTCATTACTTTCATACCTAGAAGTAGGTTGGGTTAAAAAATGCGTTTTATGAAATGGGCATTTGAAGGCACATTTTATAGTTGATTTAAAATACAAATTGTAAAAACTGTTTTATTCCAAAATGATCAAAAAGAAGACCTGTAATGTTTATGCTGGGGAAGAGCAAGTAGCTAGTCCATAAAAATATTCTTATTATTTATTTATTTATTTTAAGCACATTTACATTATTTTTTTTCAATCATTGTACATTCCTGGCATTTTCATTTACAAAATTACATGCAATAATTCTTGACTCCCTAGGATTTTATTTAAGCTAGAAACTTATTTAACCTTAAAAATAGAAATTAAAAAAACACCCAAGTTTAGGAATTTGCTGCTGTACTTTCCTTCTATGAACCATTAGCACAAAGCAAAGAAACGCCGTTGGAGTCAGAGATCTAAGTTTGCTTCCTTACTCCACTTCTTAGCTGTGTAAACATGGGCAAATGGCTTAACTCTTCTGAACTTCAGTTCAGACGTATTTAAATACACCTCAAGGGTTTGTTGGCTTGGTATATACGAGATGAATGTAGGTAAAAGGATGTTGCATGATGTAAATCACTACACAAATGGTATTTTTTATTATCTTCTGTTTAATGTAGACATGAGTGTCCCTGAGCCTTACTCAGCTCTAGGTTGTAAACCTCAAGTTAATTCTCAAGTTAGTTCCCTGACTCTTTAAACCTGGTGACAGGAACTGGCTGTGTCCCTTACAGGAAGAGGAGGAAGGGAAAGAAAGCAGGAGAGGAGGGAATGGAAGGGGAGGAGGGATCCTTCCTTTCATTTTCCCACATCATACAAAAAAGCCTTACAAATCCAGAGAGTATGTAAATATGAGTGAAACAATATGAATTCATTCCCCTGTAAATTAAACTTGAGAAGACTTTTCTTTCCTATGTGAGCATTCTTTCCTACTTTTAAGGCACTGAAGGCTGTCTCCACAGTTCCAGTGGTAAAATACCACAAGGTTAAATTACTGAATGGCACCATAACTCAAAGAACAGAGCAGGAAGAGGAGACTGAGAAAAGAAACCGCTTATGTTGACACACAGAAATGCTTTAGTAATCAGCAAGGAATGGAAAAAAGTAAAGTATACATGAATGTTTAATGGGGTATTTAGCCAACTAAGTTTTGCAGAAATGTGCTTAAGCATGTGGCATTGCTTAAGGATAAACCCATCAGGTTAGGTGATCAGACAGAGTCTTTTGTTTGCACATTGTGTGTGGCAGGGGAGGAAGAGAAATACACATTCATTTTCTG